GTTCTTGTCTATGTGATGTGGACCAGTCCAGTCAAACATAATTGTTCCCTGCCTCTACAGCCAGGTCAGATAACCACATGCCTGGGTTTCCTCCTTACCTTTAACTAGCCAGAGTCCTCCTGACCACCTGTGCCCTGTTTCAGCTTGAAGCAACTATGGAGAATATGTTGTCCTGTGCTCCCTGTTCCAAGGACATGGCTGGAGGGCTAGGTTAGGGATGGAAACCCTGGCATAGAGTCCTCCAAGAGAGTCCTTTTCCTTCTTTTCTCAGAGTTGGGCTGCACCCTGACTCACAAACCCCTTTTCTCCTGTTCTCATTCGGTCTTGGGATATTTCCCCTGTCACTTTTCTTTTCCTTCTCAAGAGACATCTTAAGAAATAATTATTTCTATATAAGTCATCAGGATTATAATCTGACTGTACACAAAGTTCAGAATGACAGTTACAGGGCCTTAAAAATGGTAATAAATTCAGATATCACTGCCAACAGCTTAAAGAATATCTCTCCTTACTCAAGGTCTATTCAGGCTTAAGAAAGCCCCCTGTCCTTGCTAACTTCATTAAGCTGTAACTAACTGGAAAATCTGTATATTCGGATTTAAGTGATATATATGCTCTCAAAGTTATAAATACATCTAACAGATTTTCGTCCCCCAGTCCTCAAAAATCTGTAGAGATCTGAGAATATGGCATTTAATATAAAAGCCTTTTTATGATAAAGATACATGTCAGCTCCTGGTAGCATACTGTATCCCCTCCAAGAAGACAGATCAACCCAGAAGCTTATGGCAAGGCTGGCCACACAGCAAAAAGCTGAGATCCTGTCCAGACTGTGAATGTGGAAAAACGGAGGATTGATTGCCCCATGCTGTAAAGTCAAGGTGGGTCAGTCTCCCCAAATATCTACTCCACAGGAAAAAAAAAATCTATCAGATCTTCTAGGCCTATGGGTTGAATAAGTGCTGCCTTTGGTGCTTCTGTCCCTGCAACGACCACAAAGAGACTTGGGATTGCTGCCTAGGTACTTGGAAAGCTGTCTCACTTCTTAAATTTATCCTTCTCAGATCTGATGATGTTTGATGACTAGGTTATCAGTTTAACAGTCCCAATCCCAACGCTCTCTGATTACAGACAGGTATGCCTCATTCACAGATTTCATGGTACCAGTTTCAGATATAACTTCAGGGGTTCAAAGTTTTAATATTGATAAATGTAGCTTTGAAGAGTTCTTAAATGGATGTTTAACCCTTTTGTCATGATGTAAATCCATTCCAGTTATCTTACAGATACCTACACGATCCTAGAAAATGTTTTGCTACTACATCAAGAAATCTGGTCTGATGAAAACTAACAATCTCCAGAGCCCATTTCTGACCCCACCTATTTTTTGAGCATATTGTGCAGATGCACTGTTCCCGCCTGACCTCCAGAGAAACAGCAGATGCCAGGGCTTCTGTACTCCTGATTTGGCATGCCATTTCCCCCAAGCTCCTGGAACACCACTGCTGCAACCTGCCTCTTCAGCTCCCTTAAGGAACGTTCCTGAGATCCACCATGCATGACTCCTGGTTCCCCACTCCCCACTTTGCCCCTTGTCAGCTTGAAGTAGCCTCGAGAATTCAGCGCCCTTGTTCCCCTACTTGCTCTCATAAATCACCTCTTTTTATAATAATCAAAACAGAGAAATGTTAATATTCTGATCCACCCCTAGAAATCCCACCCCTTGGCACCGCCCTGTGTCCTGATGTAAAAGCCTCATTCTAAAGAAAAAATCTTCCCCTTCCTCTCTCTCTTTATTCAGCTTTTCCTCCCACGAGGCGCACTCATGCGCTCTCTCTCTCTCCTATCATCTCTTTCCTTCATCTCTGTGTTATAAAAACTCCACATGGATGCAGCATCTGGGTTGTGAATTACTGGCTGCCACGGCTGCTGCCACCCAGCCCACCACTGCATCCATCTGCCCAGAATGTTTCCCTGAACTCTCGGGATACCCTCGGGAGTCCCCCTGCACAATAATTCATGACAGTGAGAACAAACCTTCAAATATGAGCTCTTGGAAGGCATTTCAGAACCCCAAAGTTTAATGACGTAATCAAAATTCATCTGAAATGGATTACAACCCAAGTAGAAAAGCAAAAACAAACACCACCAAACCCTCCCAAAGAAAATGTGAGTAAAACTGTTAGGGTAAGCAAACATTTTTTAAGGAAAAAAAATCTGCTGTGTGTGTGTGGAGGGGACGCTGCCATGACAGGCTTAGAGGCCCAGACACAGCTGCTGTGACAGGCTTACTGGCAGGCAACCCCTTCAAGGAGAAGCCATGCAGGGAGGCCTGCATCTAAGGAGAAATACCTGACGTTCCAAACACTCCCTATAAATCCCTAGACAAATGTCAGCCAATCAGGGTCCTGAACCCTGGAAATAGCCTCACCCCAACCTCTGCTATGATAAAAACCCCACCCTGCCTGGGCTCAGGGCTCTCTGCTCTCACTGCTGCATCAGAGAGTCCAAGCTCCCAGTATTAAATAAAGGCTCTTTGCTTTTACATATGGGATTCAGTCTCCATGGTGGTCTTTTGGGGGTTCTCACGATCTGGGCATAATGCTACTAACTATATAAAAAAAAAAAAAAGCCATTAGCAGATCATCACTGTGATAAAACACTGGGACTAAGACAACTGATACAAAAAAGGGTTTGTTTATTTATGGGTCCAGAGGGATCTGAGTCAACCACTGTTGTAGTAGTAAGGAAACGGAGGTTCAGGAACTGGGCAGCAATACTGAGAGGCCAGGATCAGAGCTGCACCTGGTGGCATCTTCTTTGCCCCAGGTGCCAAGTACCTTCTGCCTCCCTCTAGATCCGAGATAGACACTCATACTGCTGGGTGCTCACACATGGGGAAGCATGGCAGCAGTCAGGCATAGTGGCTGGAGTAGCAAGCCGAGAGCACACATCTTAAAGCAAAAAGCAGACAGCAAACTGGGAAGGGTGCAAGTCTTTGACACCACAAAGCCTCCCAAAATGTCACGCTTCCTCCAGCAAGGTCATACCTCCTAACCTCCCCAGACAGCACTATCAACTGAGTACTAAGCACTCAAATGGCAGAGCCTATGAGGAGCATTGTCATTCAAACTACCACAATCACCAAAACTAAAAAATATCTACTCATTAACAGATATCATTAAGTAGCCAGGTTATGGTGGTGCACTTTTAATCCCAGCACTCGGGAGGCAGCGGCAGGCAGATCTCTCAGTTTGAGGCCAGTCTGCTCTACAGAGTGAGGTCCAGGAAAGCCAGGGCAACAGAGAAATCCTGTCTCAAAAAGACAAAAAGAAAAAAAGAGAGCACTAAAAAATGAACAAGGAAACCAATCCTCAAATGTAAGTGTTTAGCACACATTTCTGATCCAAAATACTTCGAATCAACAGAAAGAAACAGCAAACACAATTTTCAAGGGGGCATGACGGATACCTGAATAGCCAATAAGTACATTAAGAAGGTAGCCAAGGGCTGGAGGTGCAGCCAAACACAGAGCTGACTAGATTCCTACCACTGCAAAAACAAGATGTAGGCCACTTCATTAGTCCTGAGAGAGATGAAAATTAGAAACATGATAGGATGCTGGTTCATATACTCTAGAATAGCTAAAACACAAACTGAGAGCATTAAATGTTGGCAAGTATGTGAAGCACTGGAAGTCATAACTACTGGTGGACTGTAAAATGGTACAGTCACTTTAGAGACTGCTTTTGTTTCTACAAGCTTAAAGCTTCACAAACACATAAATGTCATACACCTCTATTCCATAATCCTACTCCTACGCACTTACTCAAGAGGAATGAAAACATGCTGTCACATACATATTCACAGCAATAGCCCCAAACTAGAAACCATCCAAATTTCAACCAAAAATAATAAATGTTGTACAGTCACATGATAGAATAGTAATCAACAATACAAATTTTTAAAAACTCAATACACATAAGAGCAAATCCCAGAAATAAGGTTTGTCTTTTTTTTTTTTTTTTTGGTTTTTCGAGACAGGGTTTCTCTGTGTAGCTTTGCTCCTTTCCTGGAACTCTCTCTGTAGACCAGGCTGGCCTCGAACTCACAGAGATCCACCTGCCTCTGCCTCCCAAGTGCTGGGATTAAAGGCGTGCGCCACCACCGCCCGGCTTGTCTTTTTTTTTTTTTTTTTTTAATTGAAGGCAAGCACAATACTACATAATTCCATTTTCAAAGATAAACCAAATAGGGTAAAATTTTCAATGAATATCTCTACCTATTTATTTTGTAGTGCTAAGGAATAAACTCAGGGCCTTAGGCATGCTAGGTCAAGGCTCTACTGCCTGAGCCACACATGCAGCAGCATGACTGTCGACCTGGGGTCGAGAGGGAGGCAGAAGGTACTTGGCACTTCAGGAAAGGAAGAGGCCAGGTGCCACCAGGAACAGCTCTGATCCTGGCCTCTCACTGTATTACATGCCAGCTCCTGAACCTCCAATTCCTTACTCCTAAAATGGAAATAGAATATATCTGTTTGCCTTGATGGTGTTATTGGAGAGTTAATGAAAAAAATCTGGGGTCTATATAACCTTTCAAGTATAAGGAATTGGAACACTCATAAACCAGTGCAAAAAATATAGCACTGAAGAGGTCTGTGAATTCAAGGGTAACCAAGATTGTCAGAAAGAAAGAAAGAAAGAAAGAAAGAAAGAAAGAAAGAAAGAAAGAAAGAAAGAGAGAGAGAGAGAGAGAGAGAGAGAGAGAGAGAGGGAGGGAGGGAGGGAGGGAGGGAGGGAGGGAGGGAGGGAGGGAAGAAAGAGAGAGAGAGAAAGAAAGAAAGAAAGAAAGAAAGAAAGAAAGAAAGAAAGAAAGAAAGAAAGATTTAAAAAAACAAGAAGAAAAGGAAGACATAACTAATAAAAAATTAAAAAAAAGGAGGCACCGAGAGAACCGCTGCTGGACAGCTGGAGCCCCTAGCCCAGCCAGGTGCTCACCTGTTGGTGTGGGAACAGGGGCCTGGCACGTTGGGCTGCTTTCTGTCCACCTCCTTCCAGCTGTCTTCTGTCCACTTCCTCTTGACCTGCTTGTCTTCTCGCTTTCTCCCCACATACTCAGCATAGGTCTGGATCCGATAGCTTTCAGCGTACTTGCTGGTGTTAACAGCTACAAGGAAGAGAGAGAAGTCCTTTGAAAAGATGAAGATAGCACTTAGGGACGGTGTCCCAGCCCAGGAGCTGCTGGATCTCCTCACATGGTGACAAGTCACTGTTCCTCAGCCTCCCCAGTGTGAAGGAAAGCGTACACCCATACACAATGAGAAACAAGGTCATAGAGGTCAAGGGTTTGCCTACACGTTCCTCTACCAAGACGCAGAATCAGGTTACCCAAATGCCAGGGCATTTGCCTACCCTACCCCCTTCTTTATTTTGATTTTTGGCTTTTTGAGATAAGGTTTCTCTGTGTAGCTCTGGAGCCTTTCCTGGAACTTGCTCTGTAGCCCAGGCTGGCCTCAAACTGAGAGATCTGCCTGGCTCTGCCTCCCGGGTGCTGGGATTAAAGGCGTGCGCCACCACTGCTAGGCTCAAAATATGCCAAGGGGAGGGGCAAAAGATCTCCCCCTTGCAAGATCAAACCACACTGTACAGCCGAGTATAGAGCCTTCCAAACACCTGGTAAACATACCCACAGCCAAATCATCTCCTTAAGTAGCCCTGCTGGGTAAAGCAGGCTCAGATTCTCTGACCCTGAGTAAGTTCTCACTAGGAAGCCTCTGTGGGCTCCACAGGTCCCCCTTCTTAATAATATAAAGGGCCCCCCAGACCCCTCAGATGGACTGTGCCTTCTTCACTAGCCTTACCCATCTTTGAGATACACATTCCACCAAGTGTACTGTGTCTTAGAATGACAGCTAGCAAGAAGGACTTCCCATCTCTGACTACCAGCCTCTGGCAGGGAAGGGTGCAGAGCTTAACTCTATGCAGTTCTGAAGCCGCTTTTCCACTAAGAGCTTGCAAATAGCTGGAATAATTATAGCAATACTCCTGCCCCTTATGGCTGCTATGCCTCCCAATAAAGGAGTAGAGGCCTTTAAGCCCAGCACTCAGGAGGCAGAGGCAGGCGGATCTTTGTGAGTTCAAGGCCAGCCTGGTCTACAGAGCGAGATCCAGGAAAGGTGCCAAGGCTCCACAGAGAAACCCTGTCTCAAAAAAAAAAAACAAAAAAAAAGAAGTAAGAAAAGAAATACTTATTTGTGCCGGGTGGTGGTGGCACACGCCTTTAATCTCAGCACTTGGGAGGCAGAACCAGGTGGATCTCTGTGAGTTCGAGGCCAGCCTGGTCTACAAAGCGAGATCCAGGACAGACACCAAAATACCAGAGAAACCCTGTCTCAAAAAAACAAAACAACAACAAAAGAAGAAGAAGAAGAAGAAGAAGAAGAAGAAGAAGAAGAAGAAGAAGAAGAAGAAGAAGAAGAAGAAGAAGTTGTGATGCATTTGGGCTGAAGAGAGGTCCTGAGTTCAATTCCCAGCACCCACATGGTGGTTCACAGCTACCTATAATAAGATCTGTTGCCACCTTCTGGTCTGCAGGAACACATGCAAGCAGAACACTGCATATATAATAAATAAATAAATCTTAAAAAAAAAAAGGAGTAGAGGATGTTAAAGATGGAATGGCATTTTTGAATGGGTCTAAGATGTCTATAGTGGTCTTAGCTGCACCAAGCCCATTTTTAAAATCAATAAACTCTTGATGCAACCACATCAAATAAATGAATAAACTCCTGATGCAACTTCATCAAATCTAAAGACGCAGAATCACCATTAACATTAACAAGTTAATGTCATAATTACAATTCTTACAAACTTACATCCAAAAGCAAACTCTCAACAGAACTATTTACAATTTACAAACTTTAGCAAACATCCAAAAGCAATTTCTTAATAGAACTATACAAAACATAGTGTACATTAACACAAGCTAACATTAATGCACTCAAGGGACAGGAAAATATTTTTTTAGAAACATTAAAGAGACTGAGGAATATTAATTCCCGATTTTCTTTAAAATTTTTTAAGCTTCATTTTGAGCCTGGGTAGAAAAAAATAAATTTCTCTATTCCTACATCAAACAATTCCACTTTTTACACAAACAGTTCCATTTCTACCCAAACAGTTCAGGAGTCATCAGTTAATAAAGTATATATGTGTATATAAAACAGTTCTACAAAACAGTTCATAAGTCATCACAGTTAAATAAAATTGTAGGTGAGATCAACAGTGTCCTCTTTCTGAGGTTTGCAAAAGTTCAAAAAGTCAGTTCTGATAACACTCTTAAAGTTCTACTGAAAGCTTTCTGATTAGGGCCTGGCTCGTCACCTGCCCTGAAGTCTTTGCATAACTGTCCAAGTCATAATGACTCTGAAGCAAATAGCTCCAAATATGAGGAGTCCCATTACCAAAATTTTTTGCAGTTCCCCTTGCCTGGAACCCAGTTCAAACCAGCATCTTTAAAGCCTCACTCTCAGCTACAGAGGCACTTTCAGTTAGCCTTCCCCTAGGCAAAAGCTGCTAGCTGGCTGGGGAAGACCTCTTCATACAGCCAGTATGAACCAACAGCAAACTATGCAGCTTTTGCTGCTGGCTCTGTTAAGCTTCCACAGTCCCATTCTGTCGGTGCCTCTTGTAACATGCCAGTCTGCCCAGGACCCCAGTGTCCTAAGTCGCTGAGGGCTCTCTTGAGCCTCGTACTACATGGCTGAATGCCACACCATTGCTATGAGCTATGGCTCTCAACATTGGGTCTGGTAGGAAACCCAACCTTGGCCAGTAGGGGCAGCTGCACCCCAGCTCCATTACCTGCTTTGCTGTGGATCCTTTGTGTGCTACCCTATTTGCATGGTCAAATGCTGCCCCTAGGGTGGCCACATGGCTCCAGCTACACCCTGTCTCTGGGAGCTAAGTCTGCTCTTGGTGTCCAGTGCTTCTCCGCCATTCAGCCTGGAGTGCTGCTACCTCACCTCAGCAGTTCCCATGTCTGCCTTTCTACATAGGGGCATGTCTCAGTTACTTGTCCGGCTGCTGTCTCTGTTCCAGCTGCCAATGCCACTTCTCCACCTGGGACAGCAGCCTAGTCTCTGCAGGATTTCCACTGCTCACTGCTGCTGCCTCTCTCACGGTGTTTTCTACTGGGCTTTGGCCACCAGGGACTCCAGCCACTGGGGTCCAAAGTCTCCACTGCACTCCAAGCTGATGCTGCTGCCTGCCATTCACCTCTCTTGTGGTGTGGTGTCTTGGCTTGTCAAGGTAGAGCACAGCCTGAAGTCATGTCCTTTGGCTAGCTGACATTTCCCTCACCATGGCTCCGCCATGACAGAAAGCATGTAGAACCCCTTGGCCTGTGCTGGCTCTTGGCCTCTGCCACCTCTGTGGTGATGCCCCAAGGGTCTCAGCCACTGATGCCTGGCTGTAGCAGCTGCTCACACTATGCACCTGCTGCTTTCTGAAGCAAGCAGTCTCTGAAGTGTTTTTTTTTGTTTGTTTGTTTGTTTTTTGTTCTTGGACTGCCAGGTTTGCAGTATCTACTTAGTTCTGGACACTGATTTCTGCATCCCAGGTCCCATCTGTGCATGGGGATTAAAAACTACTCTATCCTAAGTCTTCACAATATCCTTACACCTAAAGCCTATTCTACTCTAATACACCTAAGCCTACATTTTTCAAACTAAACTTCACAAAACTTCTATGACTTACTTTAATAGAGAGAGAGATAGACATAAACATAAACACAGAGAAATACTTGCTGCAGCCTAACTTTAACTACTTGCTTTATATTTACAATTTTACTCCTGAAGAATGAATGGCATATCACCACCTCAACTTAATTCATTATCGGGCATGAACCCTTAACCCTCGGTGCTCCTTCTCTTCTACCCGCTGTACCTAAGCCCCATGTTGGGCACCATCTGTGAGAGTCCAGTTCCTACCTTTAGAAGGGTTCTTAGGTTGAAGAGAGAGGGATAAGAAAATAGAAAGATAGACCTAGATGACGAGAAGACAGAAACATGGGATAGCTTTGGGAGGGCCTGTGTCAATACCCAACAGCCTCATCCTTTATTCAAAAGGGCTTTTTATAATATGCCAAGGGGAGACACAAAAGACCTCACCCTTACAAGATCAAATCACATCATACAGCCAAGTGTAGACATTTCCAAACACCTGGTAAAAACGCCTGTGGACAAATCATCTCCTTATGAAGCTCTGCTGGGTAAAGCAAGCTTAGATTCTCTGACCCTGAGTGATTTCTCACTAGGAAGCCTCGGTGGGTTTCCACATTTTGCCCACTATCAACACCAGTAGTTATCTCTAACATTTGCAGGGAGATGATAAGAGCCTGGTCATGCTGTCGGGGCAGTCTTGGTACCTAATTAGCTGCACCAGCACCATGATGGCCATGGTTTGTACACCTGTACCTGGCAGAGTTCACAGTAGATACAGCTGGGAGAGATGAACATGTAGTCTCAGGGAACACAGAATTAGACAACAGGCCAGGCTTGATGGCACAGACTTGTAATCCCCATGTTCAGGAGGCCAAGACAGAGTGGTGACAGCCTAAGACCAGCCTATGCTCCACAGTGAGTTCCAAGATAATCTGTCCTACAGTACAAGATGCTGTCTGGAAAAAAAAAAAAAAGAAGGAGGAGGAGGAGGAGGAGGAGGAGGAGGAGAGACTCTGGTGTAACCAGGAGCCTTAAGTCCAAGGAAAGAAAACCAAAGTGCAAAAGGTAGATGCTATACCTATCCAAGAGTCGACATTTTTAGATCTTAAAACGAACCAGATTTCACTAATCTCCTCTGCACAACTGTTTCATGTCACACCTGAAATATTTAGACATCCAAATATTAAAATAAGAAAGGAGGATGGAGAGGTGTCTCTGTCAGTGTGGTGGTTTAAAAGAAAATGGCACCCCCAAAGGGGGTGACACTATTAGGAGGTGTGGCCTTGCTGAAGGAAGTGTGTCACTGTGGGTTTGGGCTTTGAGGTCTCTTTTGCTCACGTTTCCCTCTGCTGTGGAAAATTCTTTATGCTGTGAATATGTGTTGCTCTGATTGGTTGATAAATAAAATGCTGATTGGCCAGTAGCCAAGTAGGCGGGATAAGCA